ACATTTTTACTTACCATATTAAAGAGCACATTAAATACTATAATGATACTCCGCCACAGCCAAAGTACAACCACCCTCTTCGTCAGCCAGGCAATCATCAATAAAGGGTTGTACATAGGCAGTCTTACAATGTCATCTCAGGCACGTCTTGACAGAAGTGTTCACGTCATCGGAGACGAATGGCAATATGAATAGGATTTTGTCGCTCATCTACCACCGCATCTACTGTTCGTTTGCCCCACCACTTCTGCCTTGTGGCAGGTCGAAAGAGTCCCTTGGCCATCCTGATAGCTATATCGTGAGCCAGTTTTAGAAACTCCCTCTGCTCCTCATCTCCCGAGCAGACGTGTGCTGCTGTTCGGAACATGTTCCTAATGACAGCGCATGTGATCTGCAAAGGGTGGACTGACTGGCAGTGTGCGATGATGTTCTTGTCGCTGGCCTTGCTGTACCATTTTCTAAGAGAATGCTGCTGTGTATGTTCACCTGGATGTTCAAGAATGGGGGCCAGCTTTCTGGAGGTTCTGCCCGCGCCAATTTAATGAGCTCATATTGCGAGTTGAGCAGACCAGAACATGCCCAAACTTCCTGAAGTTTATACCATAGAGCACTGGCAGCTATAAAAAGGCTGTCATACCTCAGCACTTGCACGAGTTTTCGCGAATTTTTCAGTGTGATCTCATAAGATTGATGGGCACTAATATAAACGTGTATAATGCAAACACAATCAAAGTAAATGCGAATCTCATTGCTTTTGGATTACCCCAAGCAGAGTATAAAATGCCATCGCGACCGATAGGATCCAATGAAGGTTACCCTGGTATTGGCTGTGGTTGTTTTGGCAATCGCTTCGGCGTGGCCGGGCGATTCACCCTGGCGTAGACGCGGAGGCTGGCGAGACCGTATACCAAGTCCTCCAGATTTTGACGATTTTGACAAATTCTTGGGCGGACCTGGCGGCTGGCGAGGACATCGTGGACATCGTGGCGGTTGGCACAAGGTAATGATTATTTTGGCTGATATTATGTGTGTTTTGTAGGATAATTGGCTCCTATCGGCTTGGTGGGTACATCCAATGGCACTCGCAGTCACAATCGCGCAGGCACCAGGGAGCTGAAATCTGTAAATTCCTGTGGATTCAGTAGCCCGCATTTAACTTTTAGCAGCTGTGTGAAGGTTTATTTCGTGAGGCTTTTGAGCAAGAATGCACTTGCAAAGGAACGGGCGAGTGCGCAAAATGAGCCCTCCCCTCCCCGACTGAGCCGAGTAGCGCCGAATGATTCCTCTGAGTTCTAGTCATATTTTCTGTATTTCAGAAACATCATGGACATGGAGGATGGTTCAGTTCGGACTCCAGCGATGAATGGGAGCATAGGAAACGTCGTACCACCACCCTCGCCTCCACCACCACCACCACCACAACCGAAGGACCTATCACCACCGAGGCAACAGTGATTGGGCCAGTTAAACCTAAAGGCGACAGACAGCAAACAGTTACGCATGAATCAAGCCCAATGCCAACGATAAACCCTAAAACCACTCAGTAGAAGAAGTAACGACTTATGTGACAGAGCAAGTACCAATATCAAGCCCAGCACCGTACGAAACGACTACAGCATGAAGTTAACAAGCATCTCTTGCCGAAGAAAACCCTTGGATTCAAACGAACTGGTTATCAATAACCGCCCACATGCACTGATTTTCCATGAGTTTTTCTTCGAATAAACCTGATGATGCACATCTTGTTTTGCAGTAAATAACTTCCAATCATTCGGCAAGCTAAGAATATCCAGTAACTTAGAATGCTCTTCCATTAACAGCTCTGGGGGTACGAACCTTCTGGATCTCAATAAAATCGTACTATTGATTCGGCGGAGTGGGAGGAAAAAGTAAAAACTTTTTTCCTTTGGTCCATACCTTTTTGGGAGGCGGCACGCATTCTATTAGGTTGGCGGGAAAGTTCTGTCACACTTTTTAGAACTCAAAATACTTGCCCATTACCTGAAGAGGGTAACCGGTAATGTGAGCACTTATACATCAAGGAGTGGTCTTTCTATTAGTACCACTCGCTTGACTCCTGCTTCTTCTTCTGCAATATGGACAAGAATGTTATCCGCTACCATCGGCACCGACCCCTCCAAGCGCTTCCTCAAACTTTCTTCCACCACCCTGACGCCAGCATGATAGCTGCAGATGCCAAAATAATGGAGCTGAATAAGGACGATGCCCTCAATTATCGGACAACCTTCCACGACGCTAATGCTTCAAAGCGGGAGCCTACAGTTTTGATGACGAAGTGAGGTTTGGGTTACCTGTGAACTCAGATTGAGGGAGCTGCGGGTCGGGAAACTGCTGGATGAAGAAGCTGCTTCTCAATCGTACGCAAAGCAGCTACGAGATCTAAAGCGATCAGAGGAAAAATTTGTCCGCACATCCCACCTGCAGCGCACTCCGTTCGAAAAGGTTCGGGCCATACCTCATGCGATAGAGCTTTATGGCTCTCCCCTTGCAGTGGTGCAGCACAGACGAGTACTCAAATGAATGAATGTCTAATGTGAGTTGTCTCCCGTACTCAATCGCTATGTGGACGAGAAAACCTCCATAACCCGAGTTCAAATCAAGACAACTTTGCGTCGCTCTCCCCCCCCCCCTGCATTGTGAAGCGATGGCATCCATGAGGTGCTCAAAAAATGGCAAGAACCCCAGAACAAGAAAGAACAGTAACATTGCTGTGCAATTTTTATCTTACACGCCTCTCTGAATATGAAAAAAAGCCTAATTTGAAAAATGTGACAGAACTTCCCTGACAACCTAATATTTTCATTCAGAGTCGTGGCGGCTTTTTGAACGCCAACTATACAGCGACGTGCGGGGGCCAGCTAACGAACAAGTCAGCGTTTTCTTCCTTCCAGACAGATCTGGTGACCAATTTACCGTTACCGGAGGGTAGAGCTTGGTTAGCTTGCTGGA